TCAAACAAGCCATCACTAACAGATAATGGCAAGGAAAAAACATGTAGATTATAAAATAATTCATCATCATCATCAGTCCCATATTTTTTGGCGTAAATTAAAACTTTCAGCATGAGTGGTTCTCTCCATATATCTGGGCTCAAATTGAATATGCATACTGTGTCCTGGGCAAGTAGACCTGCCAAAGTCTGTGCTTCTCCAGATCAAACCACAGCCAATGGCCTCCAAATTAGAGGTTTGCTTTCGTCATGGATATATGGCTATAGATTGCATCAAGGGAATATTCCTTGCTGGCTGTTGATATTAATCTAGGAATTCCTCCACCCAGCGATCCCCTGTCATCACTGCACTGGCTATACCCCATTGTGTTAGAGGGGCATTGAGAAAAAAAAAAAAAAAAATAAATCCACTCTGTCAGGTTATTTTATGAATATAGGATCATATGTGAAAATTAATAGACACCCATTCATGAAAAAAAAAAAGTATAGAATACATAAAAGCAAATGGTTATGTGGAGCATTTATATCGAAATAAAGCTTCAGATTTGCACTTGTTTATAGAGACACACACAGTTGCTTAAAATCCAAAAATCATTTGGACCAGACATTTTACACAAAATGGAATTGGTGGATGCAAAAGGGAGAGGATGATAGAGAAAAAGTAGATGTCAGTTGAGTATCTATCCTCTTCATATGATAGATTGTTTTTTCTGCTGAAACCAAAACATGCAAAGGAACTTGGGAGAGTTAAGGTTGGGTAACAACAGAAAATATCCTCTTCTAATATATATAACTCTAATGCTGGTTTCTGTGGTTTATTAGTCATATATACGCCAAGTGTAACAGCAAAATTGTTCAATTCGTGTAACAGCATGGGATAATTGTCCATCCCATAAAATGTTTAATATTAAAGAAAAAAAACAAAAAAAACACTAAAATTATTGAGTTTCTTTTTTCCATTTAGTCATCTTGACATCATTTGTTTTAAGAATCACTGAAAAATCCTTCGAGTTGTTCAGCTAGAAAGAGAACGGGTTAAAATCGTTTTGTGTCAGCCCCACTATGTCTCTCCAACTGAGCAATGGTGAGAGGAAAAATATCATTCAGGCCTTCAGTAATGGTACCAATATTTATAAAATGGTTTCCATCTTCAAAGACCATTCAAGAACCATCAAGAGAATGGTGAATAAGTTTAAAAAGAAGGAACAGTAGAGAGGAAAACTGGATCAGGAGGTCACAACAGGAAGAGGGATCATCATTTCAACTTAGAGCTAAATACATTCTTATTGTTCAAAGTAGAGTCCAATAGTGTTATAAAAACCTCAGAGAATTCCAGTAAGATATCTTTAATCATTTCTAAGATACAACAGTTCAAAGCTTAATCTAAGAATTGGACAATTTTGCTGTTACACGATTTATACAAAGTTTGGGAGGTTACCCCTGGAATATATATATATATATATATTATAAATATTGTCTATATATATATATATTACAAACCGTATTTATATATCAATCCTCACTAAGGAAATATAAAATCTAAACATTTAATTATCTATCATATAATGCTTAAAAAAATCAATATAGGGCACTTTTGATTTATGTAATGGTTAATGTTTCTTGTGTCTATATATAGATTTGATTATATAAAAAAATAGTGATTTATATGATCACTAGGTGTCCCAAATTTAAATGAACAAAACAACTAAAGATTAAAAGAAAATAAGGCAAATCTTTTAAAAAACGTTTTATAAAATGTGGTGTTTATGGTTTGAAGTAAATTTGTGTAAATATAATATAATTAGTTACAACAAATGTAAAGGAGTTCGATCATCACTGGGTAAGGCTAATCATGTTTTTCATATTGGATATAAATATATAATTAAAGCTATTTTAAAAAAAAAAAAAAAAAAAAAAATTATTTGATATATATGGGGATATTTTCCTATACAAATATATCTCAATTAACAGATTAGACTGTATGAAGAAATAAATTTTAAAAATAATTACTTTTTCTACTCTCTGCCCATTTCTACATCACAGTGTGCACCTGGCAAAGGACAGTCTTAATCCACCTCAATCCAGACTGTAATTAATATTTAAATATATGCAATATTAAAATAAAATTTTACATTCAGTTTGTCTTCATTTCTTTATTTTAATTTTTTATATTCACTTTTGGTCAAGTTTTACCATATTTTGAAGATTTTCATTTTAAAACTTGTTTCATTATAAAGCACAAAAACTTAAATAACAAAGATAAAAAAACGAACCATTTTCTTCTATGTGAATAGGTCCCAATTTGATTTACAATCTGCTGTATTTGTTGACCGAATCCATTCAAACTTTAAAAATTATTCAATTAATAAAAGGTAGATTTTTTACTCATTCTATGTTAATCAGATATCAATATATTTAATGGTTTATTAAACAAATCCATCTCCAATAAATACTGTTTTAGCATTTAAAATGTTCAAATATCAATGTTTGTAAAAAAAAAC